ATGACCCTTAAGGACGTCAAAAGGCACTTGCTTGACAATAGGGGATTCTTCGTTAACATCGACGAACTTTGAGCCTGATCTCCTTCAACGATTAACTGGCATTATAAGCGACACGACTAATTATTTCCAGAAAATCCGTGAACGATTACCAAAGGATTTCGGCCAAGTAATACTTGGTTAGAACTGTAGGATCCAAACCACGTTTGGACTGCTGGACAGCTGCCTGGATAAGTTGGATACGCGCCCTCGCCCGTTTGAAACCAAAACAAGGTAATTGGGTAAGATAGCGGTTCTAAACAAATATAACCACTCAGCTATCCAACCAATAATTGTTTAATTGATCAAATCTAAACAATCACCACAAACAAATGTTATTCTATCCTGTCTGGATAGATCACGTACAGATTTGTTCAAAAGGTAATAATTGGTCGCTCTATAACACAGAGTGTTTTCAATTCTGGAAGAGTGCTTCAATTCACAACAAAAATGCACAATCCCAGTCAACGCAGGTCAAGCAATCAAAAGCAGGAACAAACCAAAAATGGCTGCCGCCAAGACTTAGTATGAAGTAAAACAACATAAGTGCAGTTCGGGAAGAAACATGGGGAATTGGTGAAGGTGTAGTAAAAACGAAACTATAATAAAATACAAATATTAACAATTCAAATGTAGTCAAAAAGTTAACAATGTACAACTAAAAGAATCAATAGGAACAAAGTGTAAGTATATACATGGAGGGATTTTCACAAACACACAAAGCACTCAAAATGGATCTTACAGATGATGATTGGCCGAGCACCTTTAGTTAAAAGCGCCTATCAGAATTACGTTCATCGTCTTCTTGTTTTTCTACCCAGTGACACTTTTAAGCAATTTCGACAACGAAATAGCTCGATTACATCGTATATTAAACATCAGTGATGTTAAGTGAATTTCACACTGAAGTAACTAGATAATAGTATAGCTTGTTTGCTTTCTTTTCGAAAATACCGGATATGGGAATACTGAAGCGTTCAACTATTACTTTTTTCGTCAATGAATTGGTGAGGAATTCAGAGAAGAAGACGGTTCTTTTTTATTTTGTGGTAGCCTGTAAATTAGTGACGCATTAACTACATGGAATCCACATGCACCCGGATAGGCCATACGAAGTCAGGACCAAGAACAAAGGCAAGCTGGAGCTGACCATTCCACTTGTGGACTGTCTAAACGATAAAAAAAACGTGTAAAGGACAGGGCCTACCACCTCGGCAAACCTCATATAGGTGGGCTACCTGTCCATTCACATAAGGTTCATACAGAAAAACAGGACGAAGCTCATGCGTTCCAAATCGAAAGCATAAACTGCTTATATATGAACGCCGCGAGTTTACCAAACAAACTGGATGAACTACGTGAACTTAGCAACGCTAACAAGGCCCATCTGATAGGAATATCTGAAACCTGGATATCTTCTCAGTTCTCGGATCAAGAGTTAGCATTGCCTGGGATGACTTTGTTCCGCAACGACAGAAAAATAGGAATTGGGGGCGGAGTAGCCATATACATAAGCTCTTGCTTGGAGGTGCACCAGGTTCACAACCTCGAGTTTAACAATCTTGAGGAATCCATATGGTGCTCTGTAAGGCTGTCTAGTACTTCCAGGTGTCTAGTCGGAGTCATTTACAGGAAGCCAACTGCCGACACCGAGTACGATAGTCGTATGCTGGAAGGACTATCCCGTTCTATCCGTCTCGGTTTCACACACATCCTGATTCTAGGGGACTTTAATCTCCCTAGAGTCAACTTCGCGGAACACACGTACACTGGAGGCGACAACTCAACTGAAGCTCGGTTCTTCAACCTCATCGATAACTTGGGCTTATATGAAAATGTGAGGTCGGCAACTCGTTGGAGAAACAGTCAGACACCATCGCGCTTAGACTGTGTATTCACTAACGAAGAATTCCTAGTCGACAACCTCTCAATCCTGGCTCCTCTGGGAAAAAGCGATCATGCCGTCATAGCCTTCAGTTTTGTTATCAAAACTAAGCTAAGGTATCCCAACAATAATTTGCGATGGAATTTTAAACGGCTGAATGTGCCAGCTCTACATGACCATCTACAACAGGTGGCTTGGGATGTTCACCCTCAAATCGATGTGGATGGTCATTGGGACCTCTTGCTGCACACGCTCTTATGTGCTACAGACCATTCAGTTCCTCAAACGGTTCCCAAAAGCTTCAAGCCACCTACAGTAATCAAGAACCGTACCCTTCGCCTCCTAAGCCGCAAACGGCACTGTTGGGCGGAATACAAACGAACTAATAACGATGGAGCGTATAGGCAATACAAACATATCAGGAACATATGCACGAAGGCTATAAGAGAAGACAGGCTTCAGTACCAAACAAAGCTTATGGACAAATTCGCCTCTAACCCTAGAAGCCTATTCCGTTATGCAGCCTCTTTTCGTCAAGCCAAAACAGGAGTTTCTCAACTGCTAGGTCCTAACGGCCCGACCAACAACGATGGCGACGCCGCTAACCTTCTGGCGGCCCATTACTCTCAAACATTTCAACCGGCTGATATCAACTTTATTGACGACAGTTTCATCTGCAATTCCACAGGACTTTCTGAAGTGGACCTAAGCGCTGACTTGGTGTTCCGGAAACTGCAGCACTTAAGACTTGACACTTCTCCTGGCCCGGATATGGTTCATCCTGCCATACTGAGGGAGGCAGCCTCAATCCTGGCAACACCGCTTAGCGTGATGTTTTCACACTCGCTTAGCCAAGGCAAATTACCGGAAAATTGGAAGTTGGCTCACATCACACCAATTTTCAAAGGTGGTCGACGCAATGAACCTTCAAGTTACCGGCCGGTAGCTCTTCTGTCGTTACCTTCAAAACTCATGGAGTCCCTAATATGCGACGGTTTAAATGACTACCTACTGTCCTTAAATTTCTTCTCACCCCAACAGCATGGTTTCAGGAAGGGTTACTCTTGTATAACTAACCTGCTGACTGCGGTGGACAGATGGACAAGCATCCTCGATTGCAAGGGAAAGGTTGATGTCATTTACCTTGATTTCTCAAAAGCTTTTGATAAGGTTAACCACTTGTGTCTTATCAACAAGCTCAAACGACTAGGTATCAAACCACCTCTAATCGACTGGCTCACTTCATACCTAAAAAATCGACACTTTAAGGTTAGGGTTAATTTCACTTTATCTGAGGCTATGGAATGTCCTAGTGGGGTCCCCCAGGGCTCAGTACTAGGGCCTCTTCTCTTCTTGATCTACATAAATGATCTTCCTCAACAGGTAACGTCAGACTTATTACTTTTTGCCGACGACGTGAAACTTTGGAGAGAGATACGCAACCAAGACGATATACAGGCACTTCAAGAGGATCTGATTCGACTTCAAAGTTGGGCAGACGATAACGGACTTACCTTTAACACTTCAAAGTGTAAAGTAGTCCATCTGCGACATGTCGCAAACTACAGTTACAACTTAGGAAACTTCTCTCTAGTAGTATCCCAAGTCGAAAAAGATTTAGGAGTCCTGGTGCCCCATGACTTAAAGTCTTACGCTAACTGTGACAAAAATGCCTTCCGAGCAAACCTTGCACTGGTAACGTTGAGGCGCATTTTTGGTCAGTTTGACGGAAGAACTTTCCACACAATCTTCAATAGTTTCATCCGTCCCCATTTAGAGTACGGAAACATAGTACTCCCCCCCTCACTCCAAAAGGATAAGGTCACTTTGGAGCGTATCCAACGGCGAGCCACGAAATCAGTTCGAGGACTCAAATCTAAGCCTTACGAAGAACGCCTCCGTTCACTAGACCTTTACCCACTAGAATATAGGCGTCTTAGAGGTGATTTATTAATGGCTTATAGTATTCTTAACACTTCTGGACATCCTCTTAAACACCTACTTAAGCTTAGTTCGAACAATAACCTAAGGGGTAACACCCAGAAACTGGAAACACAACATAGCAAGACGGAATGTAGACACAACTTCTACTCCTTAAGAGTTGTCAAAAGCTGGAACTCGCTGCCGGCCGAGCTAGTCCAAGCGACTTCTCAGGAGTCCTTCAAGAGGCAACTTGACCTATTCTTAAGGACTAAGGACAGCATCGCACTATGATTCACCAATTTCTTTTCCTCTTTTATTGCTAACATACCTAGGTTCCTGCCTGGAGGATTTGGTGATCCCCTGCTACTAGACACGGAAGCCTGTTAAGCGAAAGCTTCTTCTATTCCGTCCACAACCATTTGAACCATTTAGTATAGCTTGTTTGCTTTCTTTTCGAAAATACCGGATATGGGAATACTGAAGCGTTCAACTATTACTTTTTTCGTCAATGAATTGGTGAGGAATTCAGAGAAGAAGACGGTTCTTTTTTATTTTGTGGTAGCCTGTAAATTAGTGACGCATTAACTACATGGTGAAACTTGGGTCTTCATATATTAAAAATTCACTCACGTTCGTCAGACCTTCTGAAGTGGGTACGATGGTGCTTACGTAGCATTTATGGCGTCAAAACACATACAAGCCTGTGGCCGTATTTCTCTAAATTTGTTATTAATAAAGGGAGTTTTCTTCCGAACTTTTGTTGATTGTTCAGAATACAGTCTAACTTAAAAAGTTCCTGTGAATTAAACCTTGGACTACCTAAAAATTTTGTTCCCTCCTTTTTTTCACTAACTGATATATCGAACAACCGTAAACACAAGTGCACAGCTTGAATACGTCACACTCGTGTGTACACCAGTTGATATATGCTATGATAAAACGTCTAAACAATCAAATAACCTTGAATTTTAAGATGCGAAGTGAAGCCTGGAAATAAATAAAAATTACACTATAAAACAAAAATTTAGTTTTTGAACCACTGGGTGTTTCATTTTTCACAATAATAGCTAGTACAATGAATATTGAAAATATTCGTTTGAATCACTCGATAATGTGACTAAAATCTAAGGTTACTAAAGTTACGGTTTTTATCTGTATGTATTTTCAGAGGTTGCCGTTTCAAGGGTGGCTTTACAAGGTAGATACTAATCATAAGATTTCACATTTTGCTTACTAAGCGACCAATTTTAATACTTAGATGAATAAACAGTCCAGTGGTAGTTATCGTTCGTATTTCAGTAAAAGCACCATTTTACTGATGATCACAAATGAATGTAATAGGCAGTGACGACTTATGTCGATGAACTTTGCGAATACAGTCCTTAAATGACTGCCACATACTTTTATGCAAGGCTACACGTGGAACAAAAGTCTTAATAATAATATTGAATTTCTTCTTCAAAATATTGTATCTTTGCATATTTCTGTTGTAAAAAGTTAATATGTATATTTAGTGTTCCTAAAAAACATTAATCCTATCATAGTTGAGATCGGTTTCAGTGATTTTGTTTCACGGTCTATCATCAACTGGAAAGCCATTAAAATCGAAAAGCTCTGAATATCTTTTTTTCCAAGGCTGGTTTCCTGTAAGATCCTTAACTGATGTCAGTTTGTAGTAAGAGGAACCTTCCGATTATCTTGGAACTTCATAATACCACGTTAAGTAGTATGCAAAATACACCAAACTTTTGTTTATCGTCAATGTCTTATTCTTTATTCCATCTATCTATATCGATATTTAGATTAATTAACCATTCAAATCTACAGACTTTTACTTTAACACGATAAAAGTCAGATTGCAAAAGCGTAGTTGAACTGGATTTTTTGTTATTTACGTCGTTGTCATTTTTAGTACTAATAATTTCAATGAGTCATATTTTTCGTAAGATTCGTCTGTGCGAATTTATACAAAAATAAAATCTGGTTGCATTCTAGTGGTATCGAAGTGTACGGATACTATAGCAGTTTCATTAGTGAACTACTAGATATAGTTCTCTAACGAGCCTCACAAGACCAGTATATCTAAGCAAATAAAACAGTTGTTGAATATTTAATCATCTTTTGAAAATTGTAGATAGTCATTAGTAATCAGGTTTGTATTCTAGGTTATTACAGCTACCTTGACTTTAAGTGATACTATTGAGTAGAGTACAGGTTAAAAATAAGCGAGATGTTTATGTGAATCCATAAATTTAATCAAAACCCAAGAGCTTGAAGGGTTTTCCTTATCCATTTAAACAGTTCAACGGGAATGAAGTATCCTGTAAAGTAATTTAAGTATATTCACGGTATCGATGTCAAAGAACGTATTATTGTAATTTGAAGGAAAGTTAAATATAATTAATTCCAGCCTACTACGCAATAATTTTAGAATTTAACAGAAATATTTGTGGGTTGCTTGTAGGCGGTATCCTGAATAGGATTAGTGATATTTTAACGGCATTCAAGATATTCTTGTAAATTACTATTCATCCTACTATCCTATAGTCCTTTATTTCGTCACATACATTTATTCATTTCAGAGATTGGATCTTGTACATATTCAGTCTTTTCTGTTTTATTCAACGTCCATTACTAATTCGTTGGATACTGTCTCTGTATATAATGAAAATGGTCTACCTAAAATTATCATCCCATTGCCTTCTAGACGAGAAGCATGTTCTTTTATTCTCAAACCATTACAACACACAGTTGGGGATTTATCAAACTTTATAAAATGTGAAGATAGTGGCGTCGATCGAATAACATTTTTTAGTGAAGGTAAGACTTTCTTATTAGTGAATATCGTTTATTAACCACTTCAATACTTTGCTCGTTATATTTACTTTATTGGTTTACGTTACGTTGATAAGCTCGACTGAAGTGATCAGTTTTAGTGCTGTTTGCGTCTATCTCTGCTTCCTTTCCTTCAAACTAATCGTTCTTACCATTTTCGTATACACTAATATTTCATTCCTTCTTACTATTAGATCAGAAAATAACAGAATGTTAATCGTTAAACTGTCGGTTTGATACATAAAATTCAGTACAACCATTTTTTTTTACCTCCATTGTCACTAATAGGGTATACTTAACAATAACTAGAATGTAAAAGTTTTATCATTTAAATATTGGTTGATGCTTGTGTATACTTCATCAATATACAGAACGATGGTTACAAGATTTGTAGATTAATACACGTATTGATTGTAAATTTGACTGATTTAGAGTTTTTAAAGGATAATATCGACCCAAAATTCATCTCATCAGATCTTATTAGGTAATAGTTTTGCGAAATGCTCTTGCAACACACGTTATTAAAGTCAGCTTTTTCAAGTATATGTATTTTTGCTGATAAGTGTGTAACGTATAGAATCCGGTAACAATTATTTCTACTGACTACCTTCAGTAACCCAATGTCGAATTCGCTACATCAAAATGTCGATTCATGTGGATAGATGACATTTCAAACTGGTTTAGTAAAATCGAGTCAGTATAATCAACTAGACAGTACAACATTGATCAAAACTAAGTTACTGACTAATCTAATGTACATGAGTATAACTAAAAGCTTAAGGTGATAAAGTAACGAAAATTGAAAATAATAATAATTAAGTACAAAGTGAACATGGTGAGTGTGCTCATAGTATTTTGAAATTAAACGTAAGTTTAATACTATTTGTGGTAGCCATTTGATTAGTCATATTGAAATAAAAAGGATTCATCATCACACTACCTGGGATTATATGTATATATACCAGAATCGCGTCAAGAGCCTAATTAATGGGGTAATATTTATGAAAGGAATAAGTCCTGTATGTCACAGATCTGAATTGCAGATAATTGATTTGAAAATATATTGTCCCTCCATGTTCCTGAAGGTTGGTATTTATTTCCAAGTTGAGAAACACATAGATCGAAGTACATCAATTTCCTCAAAATATGACACCGAATGCTCTTGTTTGATGTTTAATATCGATTTAGCGAAAATTTCTGTTTTAGAGGGTGTCTAAAGTGCTCAAAGTTAGTTTAGATTCCTAAGCAACCTCATTTTCAGTAGGAAATCAATACACATTAAAAACTATATATAATATATCTAAGTTTGAGATATTAAAGATAATTTTGAAAACAAATCAATCAAGAATAACATCTACGTTGTGAATTAAAGTGTTGTTAAGGTCATAATGGTCTACTCATCACAAACTAAAAAAATAAACGAACACATTGGAACACTAAAACAGGTTCTTGTGGTAAATGACTTTACAAGTGAAGTAGTTTGTCCCCTTAGTTTTTTCCACTTCTCAAGTTAAATAGGTGTTTTATGCTAGATATGGTTTGTGTTGTGATTTTCATTTCTCATAATTTACCAACTTTTACACGATTATAGTTCTTACAGTTTAGCATCATTTTCATACTCTTGCTGCATGTCACATTGTCGTACTCGTGAAATAGTTGTAGTATGAATAAGCCTTGAGTATTAATGACCACATACAGCAGCTGATATACAACTGGTCGTTTTCGAGATCACGGGGTAGTAAGTAGGTCGTAATATAGGCCAGAATATGCTAGAATCTTTTGTGTCACACTTGGAGGACTGACAATCAAATCTTAACAAGCGTCCATACGATCTACAGGACCTTATTTATTACTTGGTTGTTTTACCAATATTTTATGTCTATAATTCTCAATGTGTAGAAATCAGGCCACGCAGTAATTGTTCTGGGTTAAATAACAGTTCTAGGGAGCGATGAAACGTCGAATGATATATCTCAATTGTAAATCATCGATTTTTCGCGAATCTGACATATGAGTGAATTTACTTAAATGTATGGTGAACGCATTCAACATACCAGCTATTTAAAACTCTAAGACTTACATTGCGTGCAAATTTAAACTGTGATAACAATCCATACATCTATCCAACACTTATACTCAGATATTTTAAATAAAATCATTTACTATTGATGTCGAAATAAACTATCCTGTCCTTTAAGTATTGAGAGTTCATCATTTGCATGTGGGCTGTGATACTGCGCGGGTGCCCAAACCGAAGCAGGTGGTTTTCTTAGGGGGCCACTCCCCGAAGGTCTGATCCACAAGGCAGTGGGGCATCGTATGGAGATGCAGTCCCGTGGAAGCCGGTGACCAACAATTAGTTCATACGCCATTTGTTCCCGCAGGATACTGGAGCCCATGTGCACAATTGATTTGGTTTGGGATCCGGTTAAAGCGCCGGACATTCGCTTTTCGTCCTCTCATTTTCGTAAACAACACCCCCGCCACGAGAAGGAAGTGAGTAGGACTTCCCTGGCAGAGGCTGTATACGCGTGGCCGTGTGAGAGTATTTTGAGAGGGAGAGCGGACTCTCCTCACTCTCGGCTGTACCAGGGTATTTGGATGCCTATGCCCTGACAGATTGCAGCCCGGATGCAATCAAGGATTAGTTTTACCACCAGTTATCTGTTCTTCTCCAGAAAGTGCGTTCGACAGATATTGTAGTACTAGCCGGAGACTTGAATGCTCAGGCCGGGCGTCTAGGCACAGAAGAGAGTCGTCTAGGTGGCCGATGGGGACTCGTTGGTTGCAGGTCAGATAACGGGGACCGTCTACTGCAACTCTGCACAGACCATAACTTGTTTTTGGCTAGCACTAACTTTCGGCACAGTCATCGCCGATGTGCCACCTGGCGTCCTCCCTCTGCATCCCAAGCCTGGACTCAGATTGATCACATCGCGATCAGCTACCGCTGGCGTGGTTGTGTAAAAGACTGCCGCTCCTTTTGGAGTACCTATCTGGACTCTGACCATGCCTTGGTCTGCGCCAATCTTACCTTACTTTTCAGTGGCCAACGAAGTGACCGCCACCAACGGATTGATGTTAGCAAGCTGGTTGCAACTTCTGTTGCAAGGAAGTATCGAACCAAGCTAGTTTCTAGGCTAGCTACCATTCCACCGAAAAGTATAGATGAGCATTGGTTGCAATTGCAAGACGCCATGAAAATGGCGGGTACAGTCAGTTGTGGGTTCGCGAAACGTCCCGCTTATAAGCACTGGGTTTCTTCTGGTTCCTTACAACTCATTGAAACCCGTCGGTCTACTCCGTGTGACCGTGAGTTTGACCACAAACGAAGGATGTTACGTAAGGAAACTGGGCAAAGCTTGCGTAAGGACCGAGAAGCCTGGTGGTCAGAGCGTGCTAATGAGTTGGAAGCAGCAGCTGCATCTGGTAATTACCGGAAGCTCTTCCAACCCATCCGAGCCACTGGCAGCAAGAAGTCTGGTGTGAGCGAAACAATCTGCGAGGATGATGGGATGCCAATCACTAACATCCATCGACGTCTTGGACGGTGGGCAGAATTCTTCGAAGAGCAGTTCAACTGGCCTGCTGCTCCGGCAACATCGGTCAAACTGTCCTGCCCTCCATGGCCGGTGACGACTGATCCACCAAATGAGGCGGAAGTCCGCAAGGAACTCCAATCCTTGAAGAGTTACAAATCACCTGGCCCAGATGACTTACCTCCGGCTCTTTTTAAAGATGGTGGTGAATTTCTGACTAAGGAACTGACTGTGTTGTTTACAAAGGTCTGGAGCTAGAGAGTGTACTAACGTCATAGAATGAGTCGATAGTTGTCCCTATCTTTAAAAAGGGTTCACGTCGTTCCTGTAACAACTATCGGGAGATAAGTCTACTTCCGATTGCGTCCAAGCTATTGGCTTCCGTCATACTTCGTAGGTTGTTCAAAACCTGAGAAAGATTGACTCGCGAGGAGCAGGCTGGGTTTCGTTCTGGTCAAGGATGTATTTATCATATCTTCACCCTCCGCCAAATGTTAGAACACCGCCATACTTATCAAAGGCCAACAATCGTAGTGTTTCTTGACATCAGGACTGCCTTCGATTCGTTGGATAGGACTGTTCTCTGGGATTGTCTATTGAAGAAGGGTGTGCCTGAGAAGTTTATTAACATCCTAAAAGCCCCATATACAAACACCTCAGGCAGAGTGAGGGCATACAACCACCTCTCTCCATTGTTCCATTCGAGAAGTGGGGTTAGACAGGGCTGCCCAATCTCACCATTCCTCTTCAACTTTGCCATCGGTGACATTCTGGAAACAGCTCTGATGGATGTAAGTAATGGTGGTGTAGATCTGTTGCCTGGAGAAAGACTTCTCGACCTTGAGTATGCGGATGATATTGTCTTACTGTGCGGTAATGCCCAAGGCATGCAATCCACACTTCATCAGTTGGCAATCAATGTCCGTAGGTATGGTATGTGCTTTGCACCTTCGAAGTGCAAAGTACTTCTACAAGACTGGCAGGATTCTAATCCTGTCTCACCCTGGATGGTGAGCAGATAGAAGTAGTCGAGAAGTTCGTGTATCTGGGTAGCTGCATAAGTGCTGGTGGTGGCCTGAGTGATGAGATCAATGCACGTATAGTGAAAGCCAGAGCGGCTTATGCCAATCTGGGCCATCTTTGGCGCCTTCGTGATGTTAGTCTGGCTGTAAAAGGTCGGATCTACAACGCGTCGGTGAGAGCAGTTTTGCTCTATGCTTGTGAAACCTGGCCTCTCTGAGTTGAGGACGTTAGACGACTCTCTGTGTTCGATCATCGTTGTCTCCGAAGGATTGCTGACATCCAGTAGCAACACCATGTTAGTAATGCAGAGGTTCGGCATCGTGTGTTCGGGTACAGAGATGATAATGCAATCGATGTCACCATCTTGAAACACCGACTTTGGTGGCTTGGACATGTTCTACGAATGTCCTCCCAGAGAATTCC